CCCCAAAACCCCAAAACCCCAAAACCCCTTAAAAAGCAAATTAAATTTAAAGTAATAAAAAGAAATTTAGACGTAAGTCAGACTTTACCAACTTAAATCTAATTGTTGCGTTATTTCTACAGTTTAGGTAACTTAAGAGCACTTTTGCTTGCGCATTTTCTGTATGAGATTCAGGCTATAGTCCAAAGTTTGCCTATTCTTATTGCATTATAGATACCGATGTATTCAAAAAGAGAGAAGAAATATTTTCAGAAAATTGAAGGTAGGTGAATCTTTATTTCTTTGAACTCTGATATCGCAATGATTGTATCTTCTTAAGAAAAATGATAAAACTGTTTATGTAGACTCCCTAGTTTCTAACTCAGAACTTGTTGAATCTAGCCAAACAGAGATCCAGGACAGTAACATTGGAGTCTTTAGTATTCTGAACAAAGTTGTAAGCATTTCATCAAAGTTCAAATTTGATGTCATACTCTTAAAAAGGATACATACTTCATATAGGATCGCTACAGAAATATTTTTGGAATAATAAAGGAGCAAGGTAAGTTTCAGGCACGATCTTCAATCCAAATTTGAATATAGGCACTCGAAATAGTCAACTATCAGAAGAGAATCTTCAAAACTTGTTCAGTTTGATGAACCAGGACAAAAATCTAAACCGCTCATGGATTAATATGGCTAAAAGATTCCATATGAAAAAGTTTTCAAGTAATAAAAAGACTCCTCAAAGAAAAGATTTGAATCAAGAGGAAAAAGGTGAGAGTCCCGCTTAAATTAGACTACTTAAAACTCTAAAATAACCCCTGCTTCAGACTAAGGCTCTCAAAAAGATCTTTTATATCTCAAGCCTTTAAAATTCTGCCAAATTCACTATTTGTTTAGAAATAGAAAATTGAGCGGGAAACCTCAAAAGTCCTAAAGATATAAAAATCGAAAACTGAGAAAATTCTAATGAAATAGACTTAAGAAGAATGAACGAAAGAACCTCTAATATGTCAACTGAAGGTATTGGAGCCACTCCTGGTTTTAACACAACAAGTATCTATATTTGCGTTTTATTAATTCTTAAAATAACCAGCCAATAATTTGAAGCGTTAGATAAAATTTCTTCTGCTTGACATTTGCCCTTTACAGCTCTGATAAAAATAGCTGCTATCTTTCTCTGACTGCTTATAATTTGAATAGAAATAATTATCGATACAAAATCAGAAGAATCTAAAGAGAAGAAAGAAGAAATTTCTACAAACAAAGAAACTCAAATACCCCCTCAGAAATATGAGAGCTGAAACTCTTCATGAGAGAATAACCACCCCAGCAGTGAGCCAGAGGATAAATGAACTCTCAAGTATTCTCAATATTCTGAATGTGGCTCTTCAGACTCCAAGAAGAAGGCTTTATCAAAAGAGTTGACCAGTGAGCAAAAAGCAGAAATACTCGATAAAATAACTAATATAAAACTTGGTGAAAAAGTTAGTGATTGCTCTGATCTCTTCTCTTCCTTCTACAAGTAAGTCAGTTAATTAATAATTTACCTCAATTTGTTTTTAGAATGGAAATAACAAACCTATACTTGAAGCCATCTCAGGAAATCTTTAAAATCATGAGAAAGCCAACAAGGAAGAGAGGGAGAAAGAAGGATCAAAAGGTTCAGAGACCTAGAAACCCTCGAAAAATTGATAAATCATCCCTCATGCTTAAAACAGACAGAAGAAAAAGAATAAAATCTTCTCACAAGAATGTAAGAGAAGAAGCTAACAGTCTCTCACAAACGAAATCAAAGTGATCAGAGACTTCTAAATGCTTAAGAAAGCCTAAAAAATTACAAAGGAAATGTCCTTCTTATCTTGCTAGACCAAAGTCGCCCACAGAAGTGAAAAAGATACAGCCATCTCTTGAGAAAATGAATCCAAAGAATACAATAGCTTTTAAAGAATATTTGGCCTCTAACCTTGAAAAGCTTGGCTTGAATCTCAGCGAATTGACCATAATGCTGAAGGAATCTAATTACTTGAAAAATGCATGTGCTCATTCTTCAAATAAGGACGCTATTGATATGTTTTTATCAAAACTCAGGTCTAACAGCATGCATCATAAACCAGAAGATTTAAAACTAATCATTGAGTTTCATACTGCCTTCATGGGAAGAGATAACTTAAACTCTCAGGATGTATATGACTTTATTCTGTCATGCCCAAAGCCGATTATAGAGAAGCAGTACCTCATTCTGTGGCTAAAATGTACATTTAGAATGAATTGCAATGAAGTGGGTATTTCACCTATCAACGCAATCTCTTCTAGATAAGAGTTTTAATTATTTGCTTAAACACAATTTACATTTTTCTTGACGGGAGCTTCCTTAATAATAGCCACACCAAATCCTTGAATAGCAACAGTTTCTATCCCACCCCTGTGTTTGAGTAACTATATTAAACTTCGAAAAGCTTTCGCATTCGGAAGTAATGAACACTTCTTCCTTTGATGAAGCTCAAAACAATTCTTAGAGTGTTGGTATTCAGATATGTAAAATGTAGAATTGATGTTTTACTCTTCACTTTTCATTGCTCTCATATGATAGATAAAGACTGTTGGAATCAAATTTAGGTAGGTAATGAATTAGATACCAGAATACCTCACTTATGTTTATGCTATCATCCATATTTCCTTCTTCAACTCCTAAAGTACAGTCTGGGGTTTTGGGGTTTTGGGGTTTTGGGG